ACAATTTGGACTGAAATTAACATATAGAGGCGACTTGATAACAAATTATTACTTGACATTAGAGATGGTCTTACCTATTAGTTCAACTTTCGCTTTCATTTGTTAGCAAAAGAACACAGAAGAGAATGACAAAAAAAAAACCTTCACCTTCTGTAGTTTCATTTCTTGTGAATGCTATTTGGCATTACAAATGTCCTTCATATACGACGCCTTGATTAATGCAAGAGCAACATTTGTGCCTCAATTGCGTGAAAAGTACTTAAAACAATCTTTTTTTTTCTTTCATTCTTTAGTCTATTTCTAGAGGTCGCACTTGGTGCGATGGCAAGTGTCTTCGTCCATGAGCGGTAGGTCTCGGGTTCGAGACTTGGGAGCAGCCTCTCCATAAATGGGGGTAAGGCTAGCCGACATTCACCTCTCCCAGACCCTGCGTAAAGCAGAAGCCTTGTGCACTGGGTACGACATTTTTTATTCTTTAGTCTATTTCTCTCAGCAAATCGCAATGAGTTCTCTAACTCACATCCATGGAGAATTAAATTAAACGAATAAAGTAATTAATAATAACTCATTTTTGAGTCATTGAACCTCCACGGACATCATAACAACATAAAAAATTGGCAACAGTCACCATCCAAGATTCCAAATATGCATCTAGTTTGGATAAAGACGGTCATGTTACATGTAGGTTTTTTAGTCAGTGGGCGGGATGGAGGGTGCTTCATTTAGTTTATAAATTATAATAATACCAATCCCAAAGGTTTATGAATAGTAGTTTAATTAACTAACTTGTTTTGGGTTTTCAATTAGTCTTATGCTGGACACGCAGGGACAAAAGATCCCTGGTCACGGAGGGACAAAAGATCCCAAATAAATGGGTCCAAACCAGTTTTGGCAAAGTCCCACAACAAATCTGCGTCATCAAATGTTGCTTTCAAGTCGACCATCCGTTATTTATTTATTAATGATAGCAACTGCAGTACTGCTACAGATATGTAAGAGTATAAGTAAGGACAACAAGCATCAAGAGCAGAATTCAAGTGAAAGCAATTCAAGGGTCTAGATGAGGACAAATGTCACAAGATCCAAAGGAAGTTACAAGGCTGTTAGGATATGGTGCTAAGGTTGTTAAGGTTGTTAAAACTGATATACTTCATATCTTGGCTTACCGAGCAAGGAATGTAATAATATAAATACAGATAGCTAAAGGTGTAATTGATGATGAAAAACATACAAGAAATACAAAAGAAATCTTCTCTGAAATCTCTCTGTCTCTCTCTCTCTAAATCTCAGTTTCTTCGACTATCTTCATTGGAGCTACTGCTTCAATCTTCACATGGTATCATCGCCAATCCGACTGGCGCTTCCGCATCTCAATCAAAGTTTTCATTTCTTCTCTCTACCCTCTAGTTTGCAAACTGTTCTGTGATAAAACAAAAATTGGCGTCGTCAGAGTATTACAGAGCTTCAACAACTTAGTCTTCTTCTTCTGCATATCAACTGTTTGTTAAAAGGTCTCAGTGAATTTCTTGTCTCACAACTCAACAATGGTTACTGCTGATCAGCTACGGATTGTTCAGTCTCCAATCACCGGTCTTATCTCTACCATTTCTACGTCCGTTACAGTCAAGCTTGATGATTCTAATTACTTAACCTGGAGTTTTCAGATTAAACTTCTCTTGGAAAGTCATGGTATTCTGGGGTTTGTTGATGGATCACGAAAATGTCCTCCAAGATTTGATAAGGATGCTACAACTGAAGGGATTGAAACAGATGATTATCTTGTATGGAAGATGCATGATCGTGCTCTTATGCAATTAATCATTGCCACTTTGTCTACAACTGCAATGTCCTGTATAATTGGGAGTAACAGTTCTCATGAAATGTGGGTTAATCTTGCTGAGCGATTCTCGACAGTCACAAAAGCTACAATCTTTCAGATGGAAACTGAGCTCCAAAACATTAAAAAAGGGTCTGAATCTGTCTCTGTGTATTTGCAAAAGATCAAAGATGCGAGAGATCATCTTGTTGTTGTAGGAGTCATTTTTTATGATGATGATATCATCATTCTTGCCCTGAAAGGTCTTCCTGCAGAATTTAACACCTTCAGGTGTGCTATAAGAGGCAGAGAAACTGGCATTTCCCTAAAAGACTTCCGGTCTCAATTGTTAGCTGAAGAAACTACAATTGGTCAATATTTTGAGTCTTCCCCATCCTTTAGTGCTGCAATGGTTGCTGGTACCAACACTGACAAAGGGAAAGCTCTAGTTCTTGATCAAGATTCTTCTCATTCTGTTGAGTTTGGTTCTAGCTCTGGCATCAATGATCAACCATACAAGAACAATGGTGGTGGTTCCCGTTCCCCTGGTTATAATTCTGGTGGGCAGTATTATACCAATGGGAGTCCATCCAGCAATTTTGGAAGTAATCCTCAGAGTTCTTACCACTATGGCGGTTACAAGGGTAACAACTTCAGAGGCAAAGGAAGAGGAAGGTCATATCAGTCTGGTTCCCGATCTTATAATCATTCACCAAATCCAAGTCCTGGAATTCTTGGTGCTCCAAGACCATTTCAGTCTCATTGTCCAGATCATCCATCTGAAATACCAACCTGTCAAATATGCAACAAAAAAGGGCATGTTGCAGCTGACTGCTTTCAGCGACATAGTACACCGGTCTCCGCTTCTCATTCTCCGATTCAATGCCAAATTTGCTGGAAGTTTGGTCATTCCGCTATTCAATGCTATCATCGAGGAAATTTTGCTTATCAAGGACGGCCACTAACCCCAAATCTCTCTGCAATGCATGTTCAGCATCAACCATCTGCCCCTGAAGAACAATTCTGGGTTGCAGACACGGGTGCAACATCTCACATGACCTCTGACCTAGCTAACTTGGAGTTGGCACAACCATATCACGGCAATGACACGATTACCACTGCAAGTGGTGCAGGTTTACCCATTTCTCACATAGGCTCTTCCAAATTGCATACTTCCTCTCATACTCTTGTGTTGCAGAATGTTTTACATGTTCCAAAGCTATCTCAGCCTTTACTATCAATTTACCAACTCTGTAAGGATAATAGATGCCGATTCATATGTGATGATGTTTCTTTTTGGGTTCAGGACAAATTCACAGGGAAAATCCTTCTCAAGGGGCTGTGTATGGCTGGTTATTATCCTATACCTTTCCACATTACTCCGAAGCTGCCATCTGCATCATCTCAGTTTCACAAATGCTTTCTTGCACAACCTGTTAGTACAAGTCTATGGCATCAAAGGCTAGGACACCCATCTAATGCAATCACTTCTGCCATACTACATCAGCATCAAGTTTCTGCATCTTTAGACACTTGTAAAACAGTTTGTACACCATGTCTAGAAGGGAAATTTACCAAGTTGCCTTTTTCTTTTCCCACAAATAAATATGTACATCCCCTAGAAATCATCCATAGTGATGTATGGGGCTCTGCTCCTCTCTTATCATATGAAGGGTTTCGATACTATGTAACCTTCATAGACGAATGTACACGATTTACATGGATTTTTCCTTTGAAATATAAATCAGAAGTGTTTGCTATATTTGTCAAGTTTCATGCGTTTGTGTGTACCCAATTTTCTGCCAAAGTTAAAATTTTACAAAGTGATGGTGGAGGAGAGTATATTAGCTCTCAATTTCAACATTTTCTCACCACCAATGGTATCCTTCATCACAAATCCTGCCCACACACTCCTGAACAGAATGGATTAGCTGAACGAAAACATAGGCACATTGTAGAAACTGCCATTACTCTACTTCAAACTGCTAAGTTACCTAATCTCTTCTGGTTTCATGCTTGTGCCACTGCAGTATATCTAATCAATCGTTTGCCCTGTGTCATTCTTAAAATGCAGTCTCCTTATCAACTGTTATATGGTCATCTTCCACACCTTAGTCATTTAAAATTTTTTGGATGTGCATGTTTTCCTCTATTGAAACCATATAACACTTCCAAATTACAACCAAAAACAACTACTTGTGTGTTTCTAGGCTATACAGGCGATTATAAAGGTTTCTTATGTTTAAATCTTGCTCAAAACAAAATGTACATATCAAGACATGTGCTTTTTGATGAATCCAACTTTCCATATGAAAAGTTTTCTGTTTTTGTCCAAACCTCACCTTTGGTAATATCATCTCCATCATTGCATCCTTCTCCGTCATTACCATGCATTACATTGACTAATCAAGTCACAACATCACTTCATAATCATGCATCCTCATCTCATAATACAGATTCAATACGTTCTGCATCTAGTATTCCAGATTCCTTGCCTGCATCTAGTGCCTCAGATTCCTTGGCTGCATCTAGTGCCTCAGATTTCTTGGCTGCATCTAGTGCTTCTGATTCCTTGGAAACACATACATCTGTCCCACATTTGAATTCATCTCCCTCTCCAAGTGTTGACATACCAGGTACTATGCCTACACAGTATCCCATCCCTGTGGATCCTGATTTCCAACCCGATCATCTTGCTGTTGTTCTCTCATTACCAATGAATGTGCATCCTATGGTAACACGTTCCAAGAATGGTATTGTCAAACTGAAGGCTTTCTCAGCTAGCATTGGCTCTCAGTCACCTGTCTCCGAGCCAAAGACATTCAAGGCCGATTCTAAAGTTGTAGAATGGCAAAGTGCAATGCAGGAAGAGATCGATGCCCTTCATTCTCAACAAACATGGTCCCTAGTTCCTCTTCCACGTGACAAGAACTTGGTTGGATGTAAATGGGTATATAGAATCAAGAAGAATGCCAATGGCACTGTGGCATGATATAAAGCCCGGCTTGTAGCCAAAGGGTACAGTCAAGAAGAGGGTGTCGACTACGGTGAAACATTCAGTCCGGTGGTTAAACCTACAACCATTCGTCTTATTCTTGCCTTGGCATCACAGTTCCACTGGCAACTCTGGCAACTTGATGTCAAAAATACCTTCTTACATGGCGTTTTACAAGAAGACGTGTACATGGAACAACCTCCCAGATTTCTCAGCACCCAGTATCCATCTAATTATGTCTGTAAGCTTCACAAGTCACTTTACGGGTTAAAACAAGCTCCAAGAGCGTGGAATGACAGATTTACAAGTTTTCTACCAGCCTTGGGATTTCAGTCTTCACATGCCGATCCATCGCTTTTTGTTCAATCCTCTCAACAAGGCATTGTTGTCTTACTGCTTTATGTTGATGATGTTATTTTAACTGGAAGTTCTTTTCAGTTAATAGCTCAGGTCATCAAAGCTCTTACTACCGAATTTGAAATGAAGGATTTAGGTGATCTACATTATTTCTTGGGGCTGCAAATTAGTCACACTGCAGAGGGTTTATTTGTTTCCCAATCCAAATACATCAGTGAGTTAGTTGCCAAGGTGGATTTACAGGCATGTAAACCTTGTGCTACTCCCTGTTTACCATGTCATCGACTCTTAAAAGATGATGGCAAGCCGTATCACAGTCCCGATCAATACAGAAGTATCGTGGGAGCTCTTCAATATCTCACATTTACAAGGCCTGACATAGCCTTCTTCGTGAATCAAGCCTGCCAGTTCATGCATAATCCTATGGAGTCCCATGTCATTGTAGTCAAGCGGATCATCCGCTATCTTAAGGGCACACCAGATTATGGGTTACATTTTAAACCTGGACCCCTATCTCTTCTATCCTATAGTGATGCCGACTGGGCTGGGGATCCAAATGATCGACGTTCCACCTCTGGATTTATCGTTTTTCTTGGATCCAATCCTATTTCTTGGTCCTCAAAGAAGCAGTATACAGTCTCTCGGTCATCCACAGAAGCTGAGTATCGAGCTCTTGCTATCACAGCTGCTGAACTATCCTGGATTCGACAGTTGCTTTGTGATTTACATATTCTCTCTCACGCCCCCATGATTCACTGCGATAACATTTCCGCCATTGCTCTTTCCACAAATCCTGTGTTTCATGCGAAGTCTAAACACATTGAGATTGACTATCATTTTGTTTGTGAAAAGGTGACAAGAGGAGATCTTCACGTTCAACATGTTTCTTCTGCTGATCAGTTTGCTGATATTTTCACAAAGGGTTTATTTGCACCCTTGTTTCACCATCACTAAATCTCAGTTTCTTCGACTATCTTCATTGGAGCTACTGCTTCAATCTTCACAAGATACACGTACAAATAGGGTTTACAGTTTAGGATCAGAAGAAATTAAGTTCACTCTTTTTGCTACTTCATTTATTAAAATCCTATTTATTTTTAATTTTTTATTAAAGTCTTTGGATATTAATAACATCATTAATTATTTGAATAATAAAATATTTTTATTTTTAAATATATTCCTTTAGTGTTAAAAATGTTACAATTAGTATATTTATATTTATGGCTAAATTTTTTATCATATATTTTTATTTTTAGTTTGTACCAATTTTTTTTTTCATTTTTTCATTTTTAATTTGTACCCATATATTAGTTTCTTTTTGTGCCCATATTTTTTAAAGTTTTATTTGTGTTTGTACCCATGTGTATACTGTCACGTAACATTGTATATTTAATTAATGATAGAAAAATTACATATGGTATATTTATGTTTTATGCCTAAACTTTGAATCATATATTTTTATTTTTATTTTGTACCCACCTTTAATTTGCAACATTTTTTTTTAATTTGTAATATTTTCTTTTTAGTTTTATTTTGTACCCATGTATTAATTTCTTTTAGCGCCTATATTTTTTTTTAAATTCATTTGTACTCAGAATTTTTTAATCTTTTATCTGTACCCGAATTTATTTATAATGTACCTATTCTTCTTTATTAATGTACCACTTTGTTATATGTGAAATGTATCAATTTTTTTAATGTTTTGCCATTTATTATTTCTTATTTTTACATAGTTTTTATCCATTTATTCAATCAAAATGTTTGAATTTTTTTATTGTAACCGCTTCTAATAGTATTATATTGAGGGATTTTAAATTTATAGGTTTATAAATCTCATAAAATATCAAACAATTAATGTCAAAACTATAAAAATATAAATATGAATTGTAATATAATGAGGTGTACAAAGTCAAGGGACATTGGTCAAACTTTGAATATCATTAAGGTTTTAGTCAAATAATATTAAAGATTAGGAACTGCATTCAAAGTATCCATTATGATTAACTAAAAAAATACAGGGAATATTATAAGTTACAGGATTAGCGGGTGACTAATATAAAAACCATATGCATGTGATGAATGAATTTATTTGAATTGTACGTGTGGTGTGGGGATTGTGTATAACCCTAGTCATGTGCCCATAATAAAAATTAATAAAAAAATAAACTCAGAGCTTCTACCCCATATATCTTGTGTATCAAGCTGCACTGCTAGTGTATCAGCTGTAGCTGAGACACATCTTGGGTATATTTGTTTTAACAATTGTAGCTTCTATTATGCATGTTGAATTTCCTGCTTGCTACGAAGGGAACAGAGGCGTTGTTCGAAAAAAAAAACTTTTTGTTTCTTATGTATCAGTACTGATGCTGTGAAAGCTTACCAACAAAACCAACAACAATTCATTTTTCTCGTTGTTATTGTGTTATTGTATATTTCACACATGTTGGATCGAAAGGTCATTTGCTTTGTTACTCTAAAAAATGAATGGCCCATAGTTGATAAGAGCAATCTTCGAGATATAACTAAAATCTCTCGGAGGACCGAATACATCATGACTTAGCGGAAGTGACGGTTCCGCTTGTTTTTTACGCTATTTAGTTTATGATACCGGAGTTTTCTACAAGTGTAGTTGTATCAATGGACTTCTGGGATGTGCCTGAAGACTAATTCGATATCCTCTCAATTTGTCCTAGTGTTGATAGACTTATTTTAGGGATTACAGGCTTCAATATCTATTCCGGTGCACATTTGCTGTGTTAAAGCGGATGATATTCATCTGAGGGCTTGCTATATGTGCAGTTGTCCACAGAGTGAGCTGGCCTAGCCAATACATTGTAGGTGGACTCTATGCCCTAAATATGCTTTTGTATTTTAGGAATTAGAATACAAAATTGCTCTCATTTACAAAGAAAGCGTGGGTCTATCATGTACTAATTTTGTATTATACTTTTATTATACCTTAATTAATACTAATGTACTTGTAGAATTATCATAAAGACAAGCCGAATGCTCACTTCCAACAACACCGACATTGTTCCCAACTTGGTAATTCTCACCTGCATAATTCGTCAGGTGTGGGGTTTTATCACAAAAGGCATCAGTATTAGTTGGAGTGGGGTTAAGATATTTAAACTCTTCTTTGTTTCTTTCTCTAGCCGATGTGGGATTTCAACATGCCCCTTCAAGTGGGACCCAATTAGTAGGTCACATATAGGAGATCCATAAATCGGCAACCACGTGGAGTCAAGGGGACTCACCCTACACGCGGGCCAACCCACCATCATCGTGTGGGGCCAAGGGGACCCACCCATCACGTGGTAGTATGGGCCCGCTCCCTGACTCTGATACCATAGGGAATTATCAGAGATACGGGCCAAAGACCTACTTCCAACAACATCGATATTGTTCTCAACTTGGTAATTATCACCGCACAATCCGTCAGGTGTGGAGTTTTATCACAAAAGACGTTTAGTTGAAGTGGGGTTGAAATATTTAAACTCTTCTTTGTTTCTTTCTCTAGCAGATGTGGGATTTCAACAGTACTTTCCTGTTTCAACCCTAAGGAATACATTTCTATCTTGCATGAAATGCATTGTATTAACAATTATTTGTTAAGCAAATGAGCAATGGGAATGACCACTTTGACTTGACAATCGGGAATCAATAAGGATTCATTCTTTGAAGTTGATATATCAACGCCAATGGACACACATGTATTATATATACACATATGATATATAAATATAAGTACTAATTTCATTTTGATCTTTTTGTCAAATACTAATAGCTTCCACGTCTTTCTCCAGTACCCTCAACTTCAACTTTGCGATGTCCAAAAACTATTTAACCATAAAAAGATATATAGTACCCTAAAAGACTCAAACTAATAATACAACTATTTCAATCTCATCGACCTGTTTAATTTGTTGTTTGTTAGTTAGTGATCGATGATTTTCATATTGATCCAACCTTTTATTTTTTGTTTATCGTAACTTCCACGAATGCATTTAGATAATGGAGAAAGCATGACGATATCCATGGAATCAGAATTAAGCTCCAGATACATATGAGTTAGAAATGGGACAATATTTTACACACATTTTTAACACACGTTTTTGTGAGATCCATTCCGTAATATATTTTCATTATCCAACCGTTTATCTTTTACGTCTTTACTCAAAGATATTGTCTACCAAAATCACTCAAATCCAAAGTCATATGACCGTTGGATTAGATTTATAACATAGCACACCCCACCTCACCAAAAGCCAACATTAAGTTTGTGATTGTGGCATCAAAGGCATCATTAAGGAGAAGAGATACCACTTCACCATAAAAGAGTCCGTGATAAAAAGCTTAACTATATAAGAATTTCTGTATATAATTAGGTAATGTCTGTCATCTACTTCTCACTAAAATAGACAAAAATGTTATCTTCTTAACTTCTTCTGAGAAAATATTGGTTAAGAAAGACGAGGTTGAATTCATTAGTATGAATAGTACATATTTTTAAGATAATATATCCCAATGGAGGAATGAACATATCTTATTTCTTATAATTTCTTAATCTTTTTTTTTCTTTTCAGTAATATAATTTTTTAATCTTCATTTGTCGATCATTTCTACAAATAGATTATTTAAATTAGAAATTATTTCGGTAAACCAAATGTAATCAATTAAATAAATAGGTAGTTCATCATAAATAATTGAAGATTGTTATTTAGTATTCACACCGTCAATTATTTTATACATTTGGATGCATAAACAATCTCCGGTTTGAATGATTTTTTTTGTAGATGATATTTATACGAATATTAATAAATTGAATGGTTCGGGTTATAATATTAAAATTAATGCACTGAATATATGTTATTTGCAAGAAATGAGATATGTGTCTTCCCTTATGAGAAGATGCAAATATTATCTTTTCTTTTTTATGTAAACAGAAACAATACACCCAAGCGTTTGTTTGGTTTTAATAAAAAAGTTACAACTTTGCATTGAATTAATTTTTTTTTACAAGAAACGACAGTTTGATATTTCAAAGATCATTCAAAACAAATACAAAGGTGCCAATAGGGTATATTGTTCCAGTGATCAAGAGAAATGATTTGGAGTGAATTTGCTCAAACAGACAACTCAAGTAAAACCCTAAACACAAAAACCACAAATGCCACCCATACTAATATATTATTTGTCACAAAATAATACACACAACAAATATGTATCGGTGACTACAAGAAGTCATCACTAAATAACGAGTTCACATAAAATCATCACAAAAGAATGAGGTCACATAAAATCATCATTTTAAACGAGATCACATAGCTCATCCCAAGGTGAAAACAATATACATTGAATTGTTACTTTCATCCTAAACTACTGAAAGGTAAAAGGAATCAATAATATTCCATGTCGACATGCGATGCCAATGCTAACTTGATCTTTTCTCTTCTTTTTTATTTTATTTTTATTTTTATTTTTATATCTATACTTTTTTTTATCCTCCTTTTCTTTTATGTTTTATCAAATGAATCTTTACTAATATAAGGATCAAGAATGCACATATGATAGGCATATAACATGTAACTAAGAGGTCACTAGCTAAAAGAAAAATAAAATTTAAGTTACTTAACAATTATAAATTCATCAGAAATAGGTATAACATTGAGGACTAAAACCTTACAAGTCATATAAATATCGCAAAGACACCATGAGAAAAAAAAATGCACCGTTAAAGGAAGCAAAATAGTGAACGATCTGATTATGATATGATTTGGAGTAATTGTTCATAGTATATCTCAATGATCCATCTTGAGGGGGAGTGTTAAAGGAAGCAAAATAATAATGATATGATTTGGAATAATTGTAGGATTAAATAGTCAATGATCCATCTTGGAGTGATTGTAGGAATACATTGTAACTAGCATAGAATTAGCTTCAGTTTACCTAGA